CAATCGAGAATAAATCTTTTTTCAACAATCTTAATAACACATCCTCCATACTAGCCTAGTGTATTCGGAGGAATTTTAAATAAATTCTTATAAATATTTACCCTAAAATTTACCTCAAAAAAATAGAGCAAAATTTCTTAACCATCACACCAATTTTTTAGAATTAATTTTGATCCCTTTTCATTTTAAGAAAATGATCTCGGTGATGCCAAGTAGAATTGGAGGGTTAGGGCGGGTTAATTAAGCCTTCAACCTCCTAAAAATTACGATAATTGTAGATGAAAATATGTTAGTTCAAGATCCCTCTTACTGACTGGAATTGAACAATTAGTATATTTGTTTCGCCCAAAATGAGAATGAAATAGGGTTATGAACTTCTAATTTATAATTTATAATTGAGTTGATTCCATAAGTATAAATTCATATCATACTAGACCAAATCGAAATAGACTTATATGCATTCTCATTATGAGAAAAAGGTCGTTCTAGCATAATAAAGACTGTGCTTACATTTGATTCCTTTGTCAATTATATTCCGTTTAGGGTTAGAAATATATGTAATCATATCCTTTTTTTTTTTTTTTGCTTACATATCTGTTCTTATTTAAGACTTTATTTCCTATTCTATTCACCTATTTGGGCTTTCATTGAATTGAGAAATAGGTTTGATTGTCCTCTTTTTATATAATATAGATAAAGTATTTTTCGAATAATTCAAAATGAAGCAATTGAATGTTTAACTTGGGCCTATATAACATGTTTGATCAATATAAATACTCCATAACTCTACATTTTCCATGTATTCCATACATCATACTGAAAATATAATGTTTTATATCATTGATAATACTGAAAATTTGAAAAATTCAATAAAAAAGGGGTCAAATTTGTCTTTTTGCCAGAAAAAATATTAAATGTTGGATCAATGATTTTAAACAATAATATATTTTTCTTATATTATAGTGTTTTTCTTATATTTTATGTAATTTGTATTTAAAGTCATTTGCGATGGCGCTTATATATATATATATATATAACTTGGATAAAATTATCAATTCATTTTAAAATCAAAATATTTTTAATGTTTTCTATTTGATTAACTTTTTTAATTAGTTTGAGAATGCACTCAATTTTAATAAATATTTTAAAAATAGTTAATATAGTGCCATAAATATGAAGCGTAAGTCTAATTTTCTTAAATAACCAGACTAGAAATAATTCATGGCTTTGCTAGCGACAATGTACTTTTTTTTATATAGTTGAACGCTATTAATCTTTAATTATATGAGAAATTAATCTAAAAATATCATGAATGCATATATTTGTGTGTGTGTGTGTATATATATATATATATATATATAAGTGCAGAAGCAACAAAAATAGAATAGGAAAGCAAATGCAATTGGAGGTTAACAAAGTGACGAGGGTTAAAAACGACAATGAATGTCAATAGATTGAATTAAAAAAAAATGTGAATTACCTTAGATATTTTAGGATTTAATGGCAAATTTTTCCTTCATCTATTGTAATTTGATAATTTTAGGTCTATAGTACTAAATCATATAACTTGAATCCCGAAGTATTGAAGATTAGATAAATGAGATTCAAATTGCTCAATCTCTATTATGTGTAACGATTAACGAAGTTGATCGTTACTTGAAATGCTAAAACGATGTCGTTTTAACATTCCGTTATTAATTATGATTTTTTGAAAAAAGACATTTTAAAAATATTTTTAACCATCTAATCTTGAACTTTTTGAAATTTTTCATTATAAAATATTATAAATATTTTATAATATATAAAAAAATTTATAAATATTCTTAACCCCACTTTTTTTTGAATTTTTTTATAAAATAGTATAAACGTTTTATTAATTTTTTTAATAATTTATGAAATTAAGAGGGTCGACCCTTAATTAGGCTTATTTTAATTTTTAATATATATATTTTTTAAAGTTTGAAATTGTATATTGTTAATTATGTTTTTTACAATAACATTTTATAAGAAAATTTTTTTTTAATAAAAAAGTTCAAAATTAGGGGATTAAAAATATTTATTTTATAATAATTTTTTTTAAAAAAATTCAAGATTAGGGGGTTAAAAATATTTTTTAAGTATATTTTAAAAAATAATTAACGAGTAAAATGTCAAAACGACATCGTTTTGACATTTAAAGTAATAGGTTAACCTAGTTGACCGTTGTATATAATAATGATTAGACAATTTGAATCACATTTATTTAATCTCCAATACTTTAAAATTTAAATTATACAATTTAATAATTTAAGCTTAAAATTATCAAATCGTAATAAAATAAGAGTAAAATTTACCGTGGAACATATATTTTAATAGACATCACAAACACACACGTGTGGACTAAACATGAAAGCAGGCAAGGATGGATTCACTAAACCGTATCTTACAGCCGTTTCTCATGTCCGATTTCCCCCATCAATCTTACAGATTCAATTCCATTGTTAGATTCCCTTTCCTGAAATAGTCATGGTATGTTTAAAATAACCACCTTCTGGGGCGGAAAAAATTAAAAATACTCCTATGTAGGTACATTAAGAGAGATGCACTAAATGAAATGGTAATTATTGTATCCAAACAATAAATTAGTCCCTCTATTTTTAAGAAACAAATTAATTAGTTTCCTTTATTTTAAAAACTAATTAGTTAGTCTCTTAGCTACTTGACCATGCTTAATTTAATATTACTTTATTTTTAAAAATATCAACTTTTCTTATCAATCCTTCCAAATTTTTACTTATTTTTTAAATATATTTCTTAAAATAAAAAAATAAAAATAAATTGAAAAGAAAGGAAAAGGATTAATTATAAGAAAAATTTAAAAATACAAAAACTAAATAATTAATTTTTGAAACAAGAGAGACTAGTTAATTTGTATTTTGAGACTAGAGGGACTGCTTTATAATTTACTCTAATTAAAATGCTAAACTGAAAAAAAAAAACAACAACAAAAAGAACCATCAAATGTTGTAGGTAAAATGCTAAAAGGATGTGTTTTTGACTCATCGGGTTAGAGATTCGATTATCATTCTTAAAAAACTTATCTCCTCAATGTGTCACTTGACATAGACTGCTAGTAAGTTCAAATCTAGAATCAACTCAAGAATAAATGTGATATGAAACTAATCTAGTTTTTTTTTTTAAATAGATTTAGTTTCAATTACGTAAAAATTTGATTGTAAACTATCCACTAACTATAATATCTAAAATAAATAAATAAATAAATACAAGATAAAATTTAAAAAAGATAATGGACCCAATAAACCACATTTATTTTTGAAGTTTTTCTTGATGTTTAATATTGCTCTTACTATAATTAACTTCTTTTATCACTTTAAAATTTCATTAATAGTAATGTTAAACATTAAGAAAAAAACTCTACTAACACATAGCATTGGATCATGATCTTAAAATAAATCACGTTAATCAAATAATTTATATGTATTCTTAATTTTTTTTTGTTATTTTTTACTAATATTCAATATTATTTTTTTTAAAAAAAACGAGGTGCATGCATACACACAAAATGATTGTTTGTTTTCTAGAAAATGGATTCCTTTTGGAAAGTGAATTATAAGAAAAATATTTCGAAAAATGTATTATTTTTTGATATCTGGTTAAAGAATTTTTGTGTGTATTATAATATTATCTAAATTAAAACATTATATCCACTAATATATTAATTAATATTGATATATCCTAATGTTTTATTTCCCATATAAATATATTACTGACAATATTGTATATTTTAAAGTATCCTATTCATATATTAAGACTAATATATATAAGAATTATAAAGTGTTGTATTTTTGTGGTTTTGAAGTCTTCCATGGAAAGTGTTTTCTGCTCTTTTAAATTAAAAAAATAAAAACACTTTCCTTCCTCCAAAGTGTTAACTTTTCTTGTGATTGAAAAGTAAATTCTATTTATCCGTTTTTTAAAATCCTGCCAAACACAAAAAAGTCAAAAATATACTTTATAAAAGAAAAAAAAATTCAACAAACAAAGTAGGCTTAAAATAAATATATTTTCTAATGAATTTTAGAAAAGGTTATCCATGTCTATATTGATAAATTCACAAGACATTTAAATTTGAATCTAAATGAATAATAAAGGAAACAAACAGATTTACAATCCAACCAAAATTTCTAACTTTTGACACGAAAAAGATAGCCTTTTCCTTTTCTAAAATTTTCAGAGAAAAAAATTATTATTCCTTTTCCAATTTCAAGGAAGATCCTCTTTGCATGCCACGTAGAGAAAAACAACTCCATGCACTCACTCACACAGGATTGATTAATTAATTAATTAATGGCTAATCGATATTCCTCCTCATGACCCTATTTGTAATGACCCTTTACTAAGAAGACAACTCCACCCTCTCCCAACAAACCCAAGGACAATATTGTCATCTCAAACTCACAAACGCTAAAAAATATTCACACAATCTTAAAATAAAGTGAGTAAATAAAGTCACACTTTAATTAATTGTTTTGCTTTTTTTATTTCCTTAAGAAGAACAATTATATTAGGTTCTTAGTTCTTACTCCTCTGTTTGGCGCGTATATAATAAACCACCAACACCATCACACACACACAAAAGAAAAGATCAAGCAACATCAACAACTATCGCTGAAGTGAGAGAGAAAGCGAAAGCAAAGGGCACAAAATCCATAAACCTCCGTAAAAAACCGAAAACCAAACACACACACACACACACTCTCTCTCTCTCTCTCTCTTCTCCTTAAAAAATCCAAAAAGCATAAACAAAAACAAAAACATCTAATCAGTTTTTTTTGTTACTTTCTCTCTCTAGAAGCAGAAACTAAAACGTAGGAACGGTTTCTCTCATTTGATCGGTGTCTCATTTTGTAACTGCAAAAAACAAGAACCGCAGAAACTTACTTGTTTTCTACTTGTGTTTCTGTCCGGTTCCGTTAAGTTCGGGGGTTGGTCCTTACGAAATGGACCGGTACGCTCGGGCACAAGAAGGCTCACAATCCGATCCGGCACTAGAATGGACGGGTTCAGGACCCGAAACCGGACTCGAAGGTGACCTACATTAATTCAATTTTCACTTAACAGTGATCTATTTTTGTTGATTTTGGATAATTTTGTTTGTGTGGTTGATGTAGAGGGTGTTTGGCAATTGGGATTAGGGGAAACAGAATCAGAATATCCGGAAAGGCCTAATGAGCAAGATTGTATGTATTACTTGAGGACCGGGTTTTGCGGGTACGGAGCTAGGTGTCGGTATAACCATCCACGTGACCGGACTGCGGTAATTTTGACTGATTTTACTTTGGTTTGACTTTAATTGAGTTTGAAATGATTTGTGTTTAGCAATTAGGTTTGATCCTGTGCCTTTTGAAATTGTGATTGGAGGAGGGTTAGTTTTGTAATTTTGATATATGGTCGAGTTACTGAATGTGAAGAAGGTGTTTGGTTACTTTGCGGTGCTGTTATGGTAAGATCCTTATGGTTTGATCTTGTTGTGGTTGATGTTGTTTTTAGGTATTGGGAGCTGCAAGGGCTGGTGGAGGGGAGTATCCGGAGCGTCTGGGTCAGCCTCTTTGCCAGGTACTCGATTTCACTGGTTTTGAATGATTACTGCGATTGCTGTGTATGCAAATGGTTGATTGTGGACAATGTATGTTCATTAATAATACATTTGGCCGAGTGTAATGGAGTGCTGATGCAATGTCTACTGATTACATTACACTTGGTCTGTCGCTTACTGAATGCATTGTAAATTCTTTCCGAGAATGTGGATGCTGTATGTTTGTATATGTTTAACCTGTCCTGTTTGTTATGCTTTTGGTTTGGTTTAGTTTGATGTTTTATGGGAATAGTGATTCCTGTTTGTACTGATTAAACTGTTCTTACTTTATTTGCAGTATTATATGCGGACAGGGACATGTAAATTTGGTGTTTCCTGTAAGTACCACCATCCTAAGCAGGGAGGTGGTTCTGTTAGTCCCGTGTCACTAAATTATTACGGATACCCATTACGCCCGGTCTGTATATCTTTACATTGGCATTTAAGATTTATGCCTTTGATCATGTTGGTGCTTTTTTGTACTGATTGTGAAGTTAATTTTTGCTGATTCCTTGAGTTTTAATTAACAACAGGGTGAAAGGGAATGTACATACTACGTCAAAACGGGGCAGTGTAAGTTCGGGGCAACATGTAAATTCCACCATCCACAACCAGGTAACGTACAAATTCCAGCACAATCACCAGCTCCACAAGTTGCACCTGTACCTGCCCCTACTTTATATCCTACAGTGCAATCTCCGTCTGTACCTTCATCTCAACAGTATGGCGTAATGGTTGCAAGGCCTCCTCTGCTTCCAGGCTCATATGTACAAGGTCCTTATGGTCCTGTGCTGCTTTCCCCAAGCGTAGTTTCCTATCCAAGTTGGAGTCCATACCCGGTAGGTCCCTGGAAATTCCTGCATTTCATTCTATCCTGACTCATCTACTTCTAATCATTTGTGTTGTAATATCTCCTGGTGCAGGCACCTGTAAGTCCGGTAGCCTCTCCTAATACGCAACACACAGTTGGCTCAGGATCACTCTATGGGATATCACCACTCTCTCCTTCTGCACCTGCTTATACAGGAGCATATCAGTCCATACCTACTGCAACAGGTCCTTCAAGCAGTACCCAGAAGGAACACTTGTTTCCAGAGAGACCTGGCCAGCCAGAATGTCTTTATTACATGAAAACTGGTGATTGTAAATTCGGATCCTCTTGTAGATATCATCATCCCCCAGAATTGGTAGTGTCAAAAACAAATGTTGTTCTTAGCCCCGTGGGTCTTCCCCTACGTCCAGTAAGTATTTCTCAAAACTCTGGCATTTTGACACTTCTCTGGGCATGGATTACTAGTTTGTGACCTACTAAAATTGCAAAATGTCCTAATTAATCATATGTCTTATGGTTGTTGCTTACTGCATAGCATTTATGACCAGTGTTGGTGGAGGTCACTGGAACAGCATTTTCTGAATTATATGAATGTATATCGTTTTGACTGGTGCAATCATAATGGTGCAATTGTATAATTGCTCCTTTCTCTCACTCCTTACCTTCTTTCCCTTTTCATTTACCTCGGAGAAATTCCATTGTTCCTTTTGGGAGTTGTCTTTTTCTCATTAGAGTTGTAGCAATACAAGTTCATTTCACCTGGTCAGAACCTTGAATCTTCAGACTCGACTGTGGCATACACCTGCATTCTTCCAGTATGATATTTTTTAGATCTTAGCTGAGTATGTGATTGTGTCTTGTTCTTTCCCTTGATCTCTGGATGCTTTTTTGGAGGTCTGTCTGCACCAAACTGTTAGTGAGTCTTTTCGTTCTGTTTTATTTCTTGAAATAGCTGTTCTTTTCCCTTGTGATGCTGGTGCGCATGTGAGAATGAGATTTTGACAGTGGAAGATTTTCAGTGGTATTCTGTAGATTGCATCTGTCATGCATGCATAGAACATTATCAAAGTTTCTGTGTCTTGGCTTCTACATTTATGTTTCTGTAGTTGAAATACAAGAAGGAATATTGCTTCCCTCTGTGGGATATTTTAGCATGATAAGAAATTAGGGGGTCTATTCGTATGACGTTGCAGCCTTTTTCCACTCATTAAACTTGATAATTTTCGGATTCATGGCTTTTGTACCTGACTATTGCGCGGAATTAAGCTTACACTGTCACGGAAATGGACCTTTTCAAAGAAATTTTTATATTCTGGTCCAGTTCAAAATAATATCACTTCTTTAATTAGTGCTGAGTTGAAAAACAAACCAACCAGCTTTTGAGTCTGATGAACAACATTTAGGTTATGTTTGGTAGCACTTGTGCAAATTGATTTAAGTTGTTTTTTAACTTTTGACTCAAAGAAAAGTCATAAGTATGTTTGGTTGGAAATGAGTTTTGATTTAAATCAAAAGTTTGTTAAAAAATTGAGTCAAAATTTTGCTTTAAAATTTCGTACTTTTAACTCATGGATTCTAACTTATAATACATTCCTTCTAAAAAACAGTTGTCTGGAGTCATTTTTACCAAACATACTTCTCTCTTAAAGTCATTTGAACTTATTTTTTGTCAAAAGTTGTTTATGCAGAACAACTTTTGATTTATGAAGAGTTAAAATAAGTCATGCCAAACATACTCTTAATATCTGGATTACAGTCTTCACTTCACCGTTCTGCTTTATAGAGTGATCTGATTGCATGGTGAAACAATTCAATGGTTTATTTTATGGAAGCTTCTTTCTAAACTTTCTTCACTGCTCATCATGCTCCTCTGAATGTTTTCTTTTCTTAATCAGTCATTTCTGATTTATTTTGACATTATTTGGGAGATATTATGTGCTATCCTTCCTTTCCGTGCTCTGATCAGTCATATATTCCTTGGTTTACCGTAAGTCTGGAGCTTTTTTTATATCATCAACTAAAGTTGGACATGTGATTCACATCATGAGACAATAGCTACTATGACACAAAGTCATCTTTGTAACATGTTGATCATCTGTTGAATGGAAATTTTATGCTCATGTATTATAAAAGCTATTATATTATCAACAGAAGGAAAAATTTTGAACAGTGTTTTGATCTTTACATAATGGGGATAGAGTCTTTGTTGGGAACATCCAACTGCTGTCTAAATTGTTTGTTAGGAGCGTTATTCTCAGAAATGAGAAAATCTGGAATATTTGTAACCACTCATTTGTTTTTATCACTCCTCCTGGTAGTTTTTGGGCCATTATGGGAGTTTGGAGGAGGGTTAGGCTTCTCTGTGTTAATGTTTTTATCTTCGTCTTGACAAAGGTTATATATCTAGGTTAGGGGCTCTAGTGACATGTTTTTTGTTCATCCTTGCTGCTTTTTTTTTATTCTCAAGTTGGTGGATCTGTTTGAGTTGTGAATTGTGTGGAAAATTAGTCAGTATAATTTTGAAATGGATAATTGAACTCATAAGGGCATGCGCTTATGCAGTTCTACATTGTGATGAAGAGAGAGAATAATACAGATTTGGTGGAAATGTAATTGATGCATTGATGTTACAAGTTATTGTCTGCATGACGTACTGGACTTTTGTTGTATCTCTCAGGCAGCTTTAGGGTTTTATGCAGACAATTCATTTTCCTGTCTTTATCCTTTGCATGTACTTATTTACTTAAATAAACTATTTTGGACTTATTTTGCGAGTGGTGCATGCTTTGCCACTGTAATTTGCACTTGTTAGTCACGTAACCAAGTCTGTGTTCATGATCTATGAAGACCGCATATTATTGGGACTAGGTGCTGGGATTAGGTTTTTTGTGTTTCCAGTGTCTCAAAGTTATCTGGTCATGGTTGAGAGGTGAGCTGCATTGTATAGGCAAATTTGTCTTGGGTATAGAAGATTGTAAAACAGCTGTTATCATCTATTTCTTTGGCCATTATGTCACATTTTATGATTGTATTTAATTTTCTCATGATGAAGCAGATCTTTTGATTGGCCCAAGAAGAATAAAATCAAAGACCTTATGGTGCCTTCTACATGTTCAAACTTCTAGGTCATCATCAAAGTGAGATCATTTTTTCAAATGTCAGGTCATGACAAATTGATTTATGTGGCTCCTTGTGAGCTCTAATTTGATTGAAATTTGTAGTTTGTTCTATTAAATGGATTGGCATTGTGTGAAGAATCTGAAGTTTTTCTGTACAGTCAGTCATTTATATGGGTTCTAGCAATTACCCTTATGCCTATGTGTGGATTACTTGCTAGTCTGAAAATCTTATTATCCTGCTCTGTTAGTTTCTCATCATCTACGTGTTCATGATGGTTCTCAAGTTCCAAATCATATTCATTAAGTAAGCCATATATATTTCCTTTTTGAACTGAAGTAATCATATCAGGGAATGTTCTTTTGTAGGCTTCCATATGTTCATATGCTTATTTACAAGTTGAATCCCCACCTACTACATGATCTTGTATCTAATATTCCTCCATGATAATCAGGGTGCACCAACTTGTACTCACTATACGCAGCGTGGACAATGCAAGTTTGGGCCTGCATGCAAATTTGACCATCCAATGGGAGCACTGAGTTACAGTCCATCTGCATCTTCTCTTGCTGATATCCCAGTTGCACCCTACCCCGTGGGCTCTTCTATTGGCACTCTGGCCCCATCATCCTCATCTTCAGATTTGCGGTCCAAACTTATTTCAGGACCTAGCAAGGACTCTAGTTCAACCAGGTTGTCTTCGTCAACGAGCACACCTAGTGGATCAGTAGGTTCAATATTTTCGAATGCTGGACCTGCTCCTCATTCAAGTGTGCAACAGTCGGGCTGCAGTTCTGGTCCTTCAACCATCACCACAGCCAGTAGCACAGGGGCCCGCACCTCAATCTAAGAAAAGATATCGAAGAACTCCTGTTCATTCCTCTTTTTGATCAAATTCATGAAAAACAGCATTTTTTTTTCTTGCTTCGGCCGTCAAATAGGAGGCTTTATTTTCCCAGCTCAGATGGTTCCACGATTCAGGTCTAGCACACATTAGCTCTGATAACTTCTCTGTTCATATGATCTTATGGCCATCTTTTTTTTTTTTTTTTTTTATATTGAATAAGATACGGCCATTTCTCAAAAATCTTAACAAACCCCTCATAGCCTTCCACCAGTTCTTTCAAATAACCATGAATCTACAGTTCCCTAAGGCAAATCTGCATCCACATCTCCATTTTTTGGAGTCTGTTAATTTATATTCCAATCCTTTTTCAAAAATGAAAAAGATAAATCCTACAGCATTCTTCATTTTACATCAGCTGTGTCTTCATGTCCATCACTTTATGCTTTTCTTTAAACTTGGGAACAAGCTTCCAATTTGTCTAGAAAGGAATTTGAAGGTTTCTTGTTCCCCGACTTTTTTTTTCTGGGTTTTATTGTGAAAAATAGAAGTAATTACAAAGACTGGAAGGAGGCATGCTGATCAGTGCTTCCTTACATGTGATTAGGTACATAGTTATGTTGTGACAATTGAAATGCTTGACATTTTTATTGATGAATCTATTATGAAATACAAAAATATGAAGAGTCACTCGTGGCTGTAATAATCATTCCTCTCTTTTATTTCTATCATTTCATTTATTTTGTATGCGCTCTGTTTGTCTGCTATCAGATAAATTTTTGTCAGAGAAGAATGATTATTTGATCATAGCTGTATAAATGATGTTTCCTGGAAAATTTATTTGTGTTTGCTCCGTCACGTAAGATGTAAGGTGAATTAGAGGCCTCATGGCAAACCATTATTCAGAATCCCAAATGTTTCCAAATGATTTTGTAGTTATAGGCATGGTCTCTCCACCTTGAGTGGCATGCACTTGTCTGTAAATTTGGCTTTTCTGATCATTGTATTTTCCGGCTTGGTTTCGGTTAAGTTACTTCTAATCTATAAGGAAATTGTTTTTTGAATCTTTTCTTGCCATAATTGATTGAGTGAAAAACCTTCCTTGCTTATTTCTCAGAGACTTTCTAACTGGGATTAAGATAACTAGCTGGCGATCCCCATCTTTGGCTTCTTGGGTCATGGTCGTGCATCCATTTTTCTGGTTGGGTATGTTGTTCTTGGAAAAGCACAAGCTAGCTAAGGAAAGTCAAGTTACGAACTGAAACTAGAATCAAGAGTTCCTAGTGTTAACTAAAATACAAACAATAGAAGCTAAATCAGCAATAATTCAACTTAGTTGTACAACTAATAACAAGTGTGCACTGTAGATGAACCTATCTATCTAGTTTTGGTCTGTAAGTTTTGCAGCTTGCTCCCTCTCTCGATATTTGGACTATTCAAGGGTTGGGACCAAAAGCACTGGAAAGCCCTGAATGCTAGAGAGCTGGAAGAATGGGCTTGTGCAAATCCACCTAGCTAGCCCTAGCTCATCGAACCTAAGTTTGTACTGAAAAGACTGATGACAGCCACTAGATACGTTGGGAGAGTAGTGAGACTCCAGACCTTGTATACTGTATGGAGATGCGGAATGAAGTAAAAGTTTACAAGCATTTAATAGAAAGGATTTATGAGGTGTTAATGAATCATAAATTTGTTGTGCTCGCATGCACTAATCCATGACACATGTGATCTTTACTTCTTAGCATTGTCTAAAAAAGATCAGGCAAAGAGCCGAACTGGCAGGCATCAGGACAGGCACTCAATATTTGTACCTAATAAGAAACAACCAAAAGGTGTTTGGTCCTGATATTCATTAATTCCTACAAAAAGCAAGGGGGAGAGCAAAAGCAGCCCATGTTTTCAGGTTGTATATTTCTGCCTTTTGCAGTTGCAACCTTTAAAAAGTAATAACTAGGAAGATTTAAACTTGTGTGTTTCAAGCAAACTGGAATTCAGCCTTTTAATTAAACAACTTTCATTTAATACGTAATAACAGGATCAGAATAGACATTCCAAATCTCTTTCTTGCTCGAATGTGGAAACATCAGTGTAATCACAGTAAAATTAAGGATTAAGCAGGCAACCAAAAACACAAAGATAATACGACTAGTAGAATTCCTGATATATGCACTCAAAAGAGTGAATACCCGAAGTTAACTACATCACCACAAGCAGGATATGATGATGAAAACGTAGCTTGAGGCATTAACCCATAAGTAGGAGGATTGTCGATGCTATACAAAGTATCCATGCATTCATTTTCCAGCATTAATGGGTTATTGATCATTGCTGAGAGGTCACCAGAATTGCTATCCCACGACAGTTGGTCTCCCCAGAATCCATGGTTGAGTTCATCAAAGCCAGGAAAGTTTCCAGGAGTAGTATATGCCTTGGTTGGAGCATTTGTAGTATCTAGAGGGAGTGCATACTTATTACATTGTGAATGATCTTCAAGGGAAGCTGTGGCCATGGAGCAAAAGCTCTGATCATTTGAAGCATTCAAATTGTTGGTTTTACTAGTGGGACTTGAGGGTGGTGGCCTCAAGCAGTTATCGGGAACAATGCAGCCCAGGTAACCTGAGTTAGAATCTTCATTCGAGAAAAAGAAACTATTAGTTTCATGAGCTGACCCATCAGATGATTCAGCACAATATGTATCGCTACTTGATTGGTTGGGGGTCTCATTTTGACAAATTTCAAGCTTAGCAGGATTGTTCTGATTGGTTGGTTGTTTAATCTGAGTGTTAGCGACAAACTGTGATTGTGGAAGCAAGGCTTGAATATCAAATGGAGTAAGAAGGGAGTGAAAATTGGTGTTGTCAGTGTAAGTGAAGTTGGTTCTTGCTTGAGTGCCTTTCATGGAAAGTGCAGCCCTATCATAAGCAAGAGCTGCTTCCTGAGCAGTATCAAAGGTACCAAGCCAGTGCCTTTCTTTAGTTGTTGGGTCTCTAATTTCAGCAGCATATCTACCCCAAGGTCTCCTCCTAACTCCAAGAAACCTTCCTGGTTCTGCTTGCTTTCTTCTGCCTCTCCTCTCACCAGTTTGAGGTGGGGTTGTGTTTCTCTGAAGGAGAGCAAAGCCTGCATGAATATTAAGGGTATCATATTCTTCCAAGCGTTTATCAAAGGTTTTGGAGGTGGACATTGCTAAAAGTATAGTGAGCAGAAAAGGAGGTGACTTACTTAAGAAATGGGAAGAGAGGAGGAGACAATGATGTGAAGGAGAAAGCTATACGTCGAAGGGTGAGTGAATAAAGTCAGGAGAAAGCGAAAGTTTAGATTTTGGTGAGGTATAGTAAGTGAGATGGTAAGGGAAGCCTTTTAAAGACACTGATTTGGTCACGTAGAGAAGGAAAGAAAGACTGTAGATGTCATTCTTTGGAAGGCCATCCCTCACTTTCCACCTACCCCTTTTTAATATCTAGTAACCAGAACATGGAGATTCTCTAGTCTAACTTACTAGTAATAAAAAAGAAAGGAGAAAAAAATATTCTAGTTTGCCCTTCAACTCATGTAACTGGAAACTAGCTACAACTTTGGTGAGATATTAAAAATTATACAAACCTGATTTCTCAAATAATAATATTTCTACAAAGCTGTCAAAAAAATTGAAATGCAGGTTTATTACTGGGTTACTGATTCTTCATTTCTTTGTATATAACTGATCCCCCCCCCCCCCCCCCCCCAAAATTTCGGCTTTGCGATCCATTGATATTTTATCTGCAAAGAAATTAAGCAGAGAGAAATAGGATTGAAATCTACTATTAAATTTTGATGGATTTTTTTTTTTCATCTCATTTGACATTTTAATTTGTTTGATGGTTTGAACATTATATATATATATATATATAAAACCTCCAATTATATAAGTAGTATCAATTTTTTCACCAAATAAATTTTAAAAAATTCAGTTATAGTTGAAAAATTTAAATAGTTTAAAAATACAGTTGATATGATAGATGCAAAATTGATATATGATAATAATTTGAAAGTATATTAATTTGAGATCTGCCCTAATGCTAATACTAGGTAGTATTATTGAGGTAAACATTACATCACATCACGTAAATAATGCAAGCAATAATTGTTTGTTAAGCACAAGATGATGGCAAAGTTAAACCAAATTAAATCAACAGTTCACGTGCAAACCAAGTAGCTAGAGCTAGCCTGTCTACAAGAAAATGGGCACTCTCTCTCTCTCTCTCTCTCTCTCTCTCTCTATATATATATATATATATATATATATATATATATACACATATCAGTGGTATAAAAAAAAAATCATCATAATTTTATAAGGGTAGAGTTTTATTAGAGGAATATAAGGAAAAGTATTTTATTTCAATGACTATTATGTCATTTAACATTTTCACTTTTTAAATTTATCTCTAAACCCTTTCTATTTTTTAAAATGGTATCTGTCATCATGGTGTCATTAAACATTTTCCATATATATATATATATATATCTCCTTGAGCTAGGCAATATAATTGCATAATTCTTTATGCCAAAACAGTCTCTTAATGGAAAGGAAACATAGAGGAATGTCAGACTAACAAGAACTAAAATACTTAAAAACATATGACTGAATTAAACATCTCTTAATTGCATGCATGATGAGTAAACTTAATTTGCATATATAGTCCTAATATAACCTAATCTCCTCGAGAGTATCAAAAATTTGAATTTGAAGCTAAAATTAATGTTTAAACACAAAATTAATTATAAAATATTAACTCCATAAGCACATGTGAACCCGCATTTTATGCAAAATAAATCAATGAAATTACATGAATGTTCTTGTCTGCTTCATGATTTTCAAAGGGAGCAGTTAAGAGTAATTATCTGCAAATAAACACAAATCGCAGTATTAAGAATTAAGTTGATTCATCAGCTACCTAATCTATTTAATTTTATCTGCCTCTCATCTCCTCGATCGTGTCTAATTGGGAACAGGCGAACAGCCCCGGCCGCCCCACATCAGAGTATAAGAACAAAAGGATATTGCCTTCATGAAGGCTCCATTAGTCAAAATTCCAGCCTTCTCTTCCTCTCATTAATTTATAGAATTTACTTACCAGTTTTGCAGATTAATCCCTAATAGAGACATGTTTTTCTTTTAACCTTAATCAACACCAGTTTATAGCATTTGACTGTGGTCTCTATATGCAATATGTTATTTCACCAAGAAAGTTTGGTCATCAGCCGCTTTTCTACCCAAAAGTTTTAAATAACGAGATACTTAATTATTTCACATTTTAGAATATGTCAGTTATTATTATAAAAAAATATAATTGCATTTTACATAATAATGGTATTATATGTCGTTATCGTTATATAATTAATCACATTATTATGAATATTGACCGTCATGTTAAAAAAAAAAATTATATTTTATTATTATTTATACGATATTAAATTATTAGAAGTGTTATTAATTTTTTTTAAATAAATTTTACTATTGTAGGATACTAAATCATTAAAAATATTATTATTATACTTAATTAGTAAAATTATCAAAATATGTAAATTATAATAAATTTATTAACAATTGATAATCTATTAATATATTTACGATATCGATTACCGTAATCATTATTTTACTCCTTATTTTACTCCTGCAACTCACAATCACGACTCCCACTATTTCTATGGCATCATTTACCATGGGCCAATGCTAATTGAGATTTTGAAACTTGGTGCCTTTGAATCCTAAAAATAAGTTAATCCTGTAGCAGGATGAATTGTTGAAAAACGATGAGTTATACAAGTAGACATGGAGGAAAATGGCCCATTTTATTTAAATGAAAATTTTCCTGGAAATTTATGCATAGGACATTACTTTATGAGGCCATGAAGGCTGCCTTTGTTTACTGATTTTGTTACTAGTTCTTTTCAAGCAAATTCAGGAAAAAGTATTTAGAGGACAGGGGAAGCTCTGCTGTGATCTCCGAAAGTAAGTGAAAAGGGCTAATGGTCAAAAGGGCAATCAAAAGCTTCGTAAAGCAAGGTGGATTAATTAAGTTTTACTACATTTTAATTGGCAGTTCCAACATGGAAAGCATTTTTCTTCTTTTTTCAACTTCTTTGATTAACCTACACGTGCCCACTGGCATTGGGAATGCCGTTAATTAACTAATCATAATTAATAATCAAATGGATCATATCTCTCTTTCTTGTTTTTAGCATTTCTCATTTCTACAGTATGCCTGTGGCCATCATTGGTGCCTATTTGTGCCAAAAATAAAATAAAATTTATCAGTGTTGCCTATCATAGAGACTATATAATATAATGAACTTGTATAGTAGCAAATTAAATTTCAAAAAGGAAAAGGTTAAATACATACAAATACAAATTCAGCACTCAACAATAATAGTTTAAGAAATTAAACAATGGTTTTCTTTTCCTTTTAGGAATGACATGGTCATAGAATCTATGACCCTTGACTCCTCCACTAAAGATTTGATTTGAAGAAACAATTAGATAGAAATTGGATTGGTTCCATTTGACCCCATGAACTTATCGAGCAATGTCCATGTGGACCACCAGAACATTTTGAAAAGGAACCAAAACCATAGGCAAGGCAAAACAAGATGAAAAGAATAAAAAATTTTATAGTTCAATGATAGTGATTTTTTATAATAAGAAATTATGAGTTTATATTAGTTCTGTTAGATTTTTAAATATGTGAGTTAAAAAAAAAAAAAAAAAAAAAAAAAAAAGGGGAAGAAATCTCTTCTCTTGCTCATTATTGATAAGAACCCCAAAAAAAGAACCAGGAGAATATATGTGCACTAGGAGATTTGATTTTGAGAGTAATGGTTATGATAATACATAATACAAGTCATGAGATATATGCCTTCCTTATCATGGAAGGATGGATTTAGATTTTCACCATTTGAAGAGAAGAAAGGTTGGTCAAGCTCTATCTAAAAAGGAGTGAGCAAGTTGGAATGCAAGAGCACAGTTTTTTCAGCTCCTTAAAATGGATTGTTTTCTTTTAAAATGGTACTTTTTGGTTCAAAATTAGACCGTGTAGGGGTCTCTTTGGATTTTTATTTTTTCCTTCTCTTGACATGGTAGTAGTGTACTGCTTATCTGGTCAGATGAGAATTTTTGCACATTCTCCAAAACAGTACACCTTTTCTCATTGTTGAAGGACACCCCAGGATTTAGGGGAAAGAAAGATAAATGTGTCTTTTTGAGGAGTTGGACTTTGAATGGACAGCCTTTTTTTTTATATTTTTTTCCCCCTTGTTTTTTTAAATAGAGACAGAAAGAAACTTGAGTTGAAAAGAGATCATCACATAAAAATTGTCTCACGAGCTGAGTTAATTTTAAGCCTTTTTCCGTTATAGTGAATTAAGTAGTCAAACGCACTCGTGGCCATTGCAATGATAGTGCTACCATATGCAGGGATAGTGTTTTTGGCGTATGTTTGTGAGTTTATCCACTCTTCTATGTCTCCATGAAAAATGTCTCTTGCCCTTTGGAATAGGGCAAGGGAATTGAAACATTTTTTTGTGTTAAAATAATTGGGTTAATGTTGCATTTGGTTACTCTACTTTACTTTCATCTTAGTTCCACTCTTTTACTTCTTTTTTTTTTTTATGTAATATTATCTTTATATTCTTTATTTTATAATCATTTATTTTTGTCACCAATGACAACATTAAATTCTATGGTCACGACAAAAAAAAAGATGGTAAAATTAGTGAAAATAAAAAAGAATTAAAAAAGAAAAATTGATAGGTACTGAATGACCAAATTAATGTACCATTAGATTAAAATAAAATCATAAACTAATTAGGATTAATTATGCTAAGAAACTACTGCTAGCTAGAATGTAGGATTCGTTTAGAATCTTGTTATTCCTTGTTGGAAGCAAAAAATTGCACAAGAGAAGGGAGAGATTGTGAATCTTTTACATGAGCACATAATTTTTCTTAACTTCATGCGTAGGAGTTTCATAGCCGTAGTCATACCTCTAAATCCAAGTATAAAATAATTACTATTTCACTAGGTGGAAGGAGTTTCACTTTATTTGTCAAACAGTGAAAGTCCTTTCAACCATCAGAAACAATTTTAAACCAGTCCAATGGGCCAACGCCACGTAACCTCAAAAAGACCAAACCTAGTACTGGATACTGAACTTCGGACACTATTGCCAAGTCATCAACGTGGGCCCACGTTGTCAGAAAATGGACACGTGTCAAAGATCTGGACGCGAAGAAGTACGAAGTAGGTGTACGGGTAGGATTCGTTGATGAATGTTAACTATTTGTGCTTACTTATAAAACAGTGAAAGCGAATCTCTCCAAGCCTATAGTCAAAGATTCATTGTGAACTGTTTGATTTATGGATTGGATGGTTGAGAATGAGAGGAAGCCTTCTGTTCTGGTTTTAGGGGACACACCACGCAATTTTCTCCAAGCCTACATACTTCGTCACCGCAACTTGCTTGCCTGTGTCAGCACTCTTTTAACAAGATTTGATATATAATCTATCACACTCTCGTTATCCTCTATTTTGATAAATAATAATAATAATGAAATATATAACAAACAAACATGAGATAGTGGAAATAATATGATTAAAGTCATTGCCAATTAATCTTCTTTCTTTTTTTTTTTCATAGGAAGTAATAAGGATGTGAATATTTATGGAGATGCCAATTACTTCACAATCAAATACTTCACAATCACATGGAATATGAGTTCCACAAATTATATATAGTTTAGAAAATGCTGTAAGGTTTTTTCTTTTCTTTTTCTTTTATTTTTTATGAATAGGATCATAGATGTTGTCATAATCCAATTTTGAATCCCTATTTTCTTTTCAAATTTTTTTTCTCAAAATTAAGAAATACGTATATAAAAAATATAATAAAAAATTGCATACTATCCAATTTCTATGATTTTCTATAATTTTAAGGTGGTTTTATAAATTTTTAGAATTTTAGAGTATGTTGGTATTTTTATTCTTGATTTTTAGGAAAACAAAAAATATATGAGACAAACAAATATCAATAAAAATTTAAAAAATATTATGAAATAATGAATATCCATAACTATTTCATATTTTGACTATTTATGTGATTCAATTCACCTTTTAATATGAGAAATTGAAGAGATGACGCAATTGATTCAATTATTTATGTACCTTTTAATGGTTTATAATCTCTTCCAATTCTCTTTTTAATCTTGAAATTTATAAATAGGTATGATTGTTCATTAGTTTGTATACACGTATTTTGTAGAGATTGAAAGAATTATTTAAAGTTGTTATCTCTTGTATTCACTTTATTTTATAGTGAATTCTTTTTTATATCATTTTTCTCTTCAATTCTACTATTACTATTATTTTTTTATAAAACATTATCAACACGAAGTTCTAATTAATCGAGATAATAGACCATGAGGTATGTATCTACTAAAAGACTTAATCATTTGTTTCAATTATTGAATTTTTTTCTACATAAATGCTTTACCAAAATATCTAAATTATCTAGATCATCAAGAAGTATGTATCTAATTTATCTTTTACTTTAAATCTAATAATACATAGAGTATACGTTTGAAAAACTTGAATGATTTAAAATATAAAATCTAATAATCTAATATATATTGTTTAAAAAGCTTTAATTTTATTATTATGTTTTTTCTTATTTTCTAACATTATTATCATGTATTGCATTATAGAATTTTTATCATATCAACAACATAAACTTGATTTTATAGCTCTTGATATTTTGAACAAGAATTATTAATTATGAGAAAAAAATTTTTACTTTTCATGCCTCGAATATGCTCCCGTAACGAGTAATATTGAGCAAATGATTTTAAAAATATTTTTAATTGATTTCATGTTTTTGAGCAAAATAAACGGCTATTGATGAAAAATCATGAATTTTGTCCATTTGGTTCTACTTCATTCCTTGAAATGAACATGACAATTTATGATAATTTTAGATACAAATGTGATCATGGCCATAACTATTATCATGGTTGGAATAATTATCGTATAATCGTGGTATTCATAATAATACACCTTACGGCAATAAGTGGAGAAACTATAGTAGTCATAATAATACGACTTACCACAAGATATGAACAAATTATAGTAATCACAATAAAACATCTTACAATCGAAGTGGACAAACTATAAAAAAAATGAAAATAAAAATAGTTTAAACCATCATTCTAAAAATAAATGCTATTTGTGTCACATAAAAGTATATTGATCGTGTACCTATCATACATCAAAACACCTTGTTGACTTTTATCAAGCAACATGGAAAGAAAGAGTAAAATATAAAGATCAATTTTATATATCAAAATGATGATAATTGAAATTAATAACTTTTTGGTTTTTCTATTTATAGATAGATGTTTTTTATATATATTTTTTATAATTTCTATTGTATAGAGATAAATATAAATTTATTTTGTTTTTATCAAGTATGTATATATATATATATATTGTATCCGATACTATCAATCTAATAGAAAGCTCAAGAAAGAGCGAATGTATTATTATTTAAAGAGATAAATTTTGAAAGCTCCGAAAGGACAAATATATTATTACTTGAAATGAATTTTTTTATTATAATTAATGTATTATTCTCTCTAAAGTCCCAAAAAATTTGTCAAGTTGCAAAAATATTCGTCTAAATGGATATTATATCGAGACAAAAAATGTTAAGAATATTGCATACTTATATGTTACAATAATTATATCGGATAGAAAATATGTATTAAAGTAATTGTCCACTTTCTCTTTTGGTCTATATTACAAACACTCGAATGGTTGAAACAAATATTATAGTAAACCAAAAGTTTACTAATACAAATATTTTTATTACGTGACATAACCGAGTTAGGTTCTAGGTCTTTCATGATGTAAAAAATTATTAAAAATTCATATGGATATATTTTTTTATACCCATAAAAATTTTTAATTTAATAAATTTTTTTGTTTTGCATGCTCTTAAGGCAAATTGATTATTAAGCCATCATCAAGTAAAATTAAGATTAAATCTCTAATATTTTTAGAACATATTCAAGGTGATATATGTGGATCAATTCATCTACCATGTGGACCTTTTAGATATTTTATAGTTTTAATAGATGCATCCATAAGATGATTACATCTATGCTTATTATCTACTCAAAACCTAGTATTTTTGAGGTTGTTAGTTCAAATAATTCAATTATGAGCATAACTTTCAGATTATACCATTAAAATAATTTGTCATGATAATGACTAGTAAATTTATCTTTCAAGCATTAAATGATTATTAATTAGCTATTAGAATAAAGATTGAACAGGTTGTTGCTCATGTTCACACTTAGAAAGGTTTAGTAGAATCAATTATCAAAAGACTTCAATTGATATTAAATCATTACTTATGAAAACAAAACTCCCCGTTTACATTTAGAGATGTGCAATCGTACATGCAATAACACTTATTCGCACCGGACCCATAAATTATAAAAAATTCTCCTCCCCTTTCAATTGGTTTCTAGTCATGAATCAAATATTTCTCATTTAAGAATTTTTATTTATGCAATATATGTCCCTAGTGCTCCTCCATAACAAACTAAAATGAGCACTTAAAGGAAATTGGTAATATATGTTGAATTTGAATCTTCTTGAATAATTAAATATCTTGAACCATTAATAGAAGATATTTTTTTAGTTTGATTTATCGACTATCATTTTGGTGAAACAGTTTTTCCAACATTAGGGGTGGGAGAGAGAATAAGAAAAATAAGTAGTTAGAAATATTAGAAAAAGAGAATAAATGGAGTACTCCATCTTTACATCATCTTGATCCTCGTACAAAATAATATGAACTAGAAGTTCAAAAGATAATTCATTTACAAAATCTTACAAACCAACTACTAGATGTATTCTCGGATCCAAAAAGAGTAACTAAAATGCATGTACTCGTTATAAATGCTTTTATTAGAATTGATATCCTAAAAGAAAAATCTATTAATATTATAACAAGTGAATCTAAAGTATGCCTAAAACGACCGATCGATTCTAAAGATAAAAATCCTCAAAAGAAAAGAAAAAATAATTAAGATAAAACTATCAAAGAAGTAAATATTCATAAAAACATTCTAATATATTTTTGATAATAGACTTCAGAAGAAGTTTGAATGCTCAAGAAAAATCAAAAGGTGTTGATAAATTAAGTCAATATAGGAAAAAAATAGGATAAAAAAATATTTATCAATAATAGTTTTACATATAATATTGCAATTGATATGTTAAATGAAAATAAGGATCTTGAGTCTAAATTTATTGAAGAATGTTGATATAAAAATAATTGGTTTAAATGAAAAGAGCAATCCAGATAGAATTATATTATCTTATAAA